ATTAAATGATGAAATTGGGGTTAAATTATGGTTGGGTGAAATTTTAGGGGGTTCTAGAATATATTGAAAGAATGCAGGGGTCTGAGTGCAATTTGTATCTACGAAAAATCCCAAATTCAACCCTAATTCAACAGTTGACCGTTACTACTTAACGGTCAAACAGACGGAGGGACTAAATGTGTTAAAATTTGACAACATTAGTGTGTATTTTGTTGACGGCGGTAAATGGGGGACCAAAAGCCTGATGCGCATGTTACGTAGTGGACTATCTTAACGCACCGGGAACATCTTTTTCAATATTGTATTGCAACTTGCATATTTTTCATATATGATTATTCTATGATTTCCTAAAAGAAGAAGAAACACCACAAACAAGACTGGAAAGTAAAATAAGAGCAATAACCTATGATGTTTTTCTTTGCGGTGGAAGATCGAGAAATAAGGGGAAAGAAAATTGCAATGACATTTTTCTTAGCAAACGCAAAGCGTGGGGATGAAGAAGACACACACACACAAAAAAAAAAAAGCTATATGGCTCTATTACCATTGTCATAGTAAATTGAATTGTATATTGTTCTCTAATAGAGGTACTCAAATATAAGAGCCAAAATTCCGAAGTTCTAATATTTACGATATTTTTGGATTGAAATTGGAATTATGTAAAAGAAATTGGAATTTTCGATTTCCGATTCGATTTAATTTCCAAAATTAACTCCAAAAAATTACGATTTTCTTCCCAAAAGTAATATACAAGACTTATTTTAAGAGTTTTTTTTTTTCCTGAAAGAGTAATTTGATTTATGTCTTGTTTTAGGATTTTGACATATTTATTGTTGTTAGAAGTTTTGTTGGCTATTATGATTTACTTGTATTATTTTTTGAATTGAAATTTAGTAGTTATTAAATTTACTTTTATCAACGTGGATGTTTTTATTTTTCGTTAATTATGAAATTTTTAGAAAATTTCTGCTAAGTATTGAAATTTTAAAACTTATTTGATTTATGAATTTATTTTGAAATTCCGAAATTTCCGGGCCAAGTGAAACTGGAATGAATTTTTAGATTCCAAAATTTTTGGATTTGGAATTGCGATTGAAATTCTTTTATGCTTCAGTTATTTAATGATCAATATTATATCATGGCAGTTAAGTTTATAGAATTTTTTTTTTTTTTCGGAATAAGTATATATTATTAAATTTGTATACTTGTTGATATTGTTACCGATATCACTAATAAATTTTATTATAATTGTCTTGTCATGTATTAAACTAATTATTATTTACCCTTTTGAAATGATATCCTGTGCATCGCATACGAAAAATACTATTTAATTACAAAAAACAATAGAAGAATTTATACAATCACAATATTAAAAAACCAATAGAAGTTATAGTAAAAACTATGTTGAAGTTGATTTTTTTTAATTACAAATCAATTAATACACGATTTAATTTTTTTCTATTGCATGTTCAACTTCATCAACATTCAATGGTTCTTTATCGGAAATAATTT